TCAAACTTGATCGTCGGTCGTTTGGTCGAAAGTGGCTGTGAAAGTACAGAATCTCGAAGGGAAGAAGTGTCGTCTCGGGGGACAGGAGGGTCATACAACTGGTGTCGTAGTACATCAACGCTTGAAGGGTCCAGTTGATTTACATTTATCACTGAAACGGTCGGATCGTGGGGTGCAGCAGCACCTGTAGGTCTCATTCGTAAATGGGTGGAGTTTTGACTGTTTTGGCTCATTCTCTTTCGGGTTCGTGCCCGAATGATGCTACCCACAGCACCAAATGAGCCACGGAGGGTGTCCATGCCGGGATCTTCTACGTTAAAGCCATTTTTCTCGTCCACATTTCCAGCTTGGGATCGAGCAACTTGCAAGAGCATAGTAGAGCGTCGATCGAGTTTATTGAGTTTCTCAGGGTCGACTTTGGACATTTGGAGGACGGTGATTCCAACACAGATGACCAAAAAGCCCATGACGAGTGTGATAATCTGAGAAGGAGTAGCTGAGAGGCCTTGAAATAGGACCTAAAGATGTCTTTAAAAAAAGGTTAAATGTGAAGATACAAATGGGTACACACGATACTCGTTAGTATCGAAAAAAACGTAACTATTTAAAATGAAAAATAAATGAGTGCTTTGAGACGTGAGGATGAGGCCTCTTACAGATGACGTAATATGTTGGCGTGACTACACAAAGGTTGAGTATCTGGGAATACGGAAGGTGGCATATAGATCTCACCCATAGCTGATGAAGCCAGTAATCAGTGAGAGTAAAGCTCAAAAAAGAAGCAAAAAAGACTGACCAGTATTGAATAGCGCCAGCGCCACGTTAAGATAGTACACTTCCACCACTACAGAAAAATCAGTCATTGCCCACATGCGATCGATGATGGTTGAACTCACGAAGGGTTACGACAACAAATGCGAATAAAAAGTATATAAACCCAAATTTAAACTGGAAAAGCCGTTGAACATTTACTTTGGGTAACAAGAGACAAATGCATACCTGGTTGTCGCCCCTAGCTGTCTCGACAATGGCAGCACCAAGTCCAGTTGTGACGCTAACAGATATGCCACCAATCATGCTACACACAAAGATATACCACAACATGCTCTTCTTGCCATACCTAACAATACAGAAGCTTTCAATTGTTATCGAGACAGGAACAGCAAAAGAACTGACTTTGGCGCGAAGTAGAAGATAATAACCAACGCCGCAGCGATGAGAACACCAGTGAAGGAAAGGAAACCAGGAGCTAGGAAGAGCTTTTGAAATACAGTAATTTTACCGATGGTTGGTTCTTGTGGACCTTATGGAAGGATGCTATGAGTACTGTGTTTAGAGATGTCAATGCGACTGAACCCACCATTGAGAGCAATAATGACTGAGCCCAACTATTACTGTGGGTCAGCTGAGAGCCTGGAATGACAAAGGAGAGACGCTGACAATGCATAAAGCACATCCAAGCCAACCAAAGAAAGTAAGCTTCTCCTTGAGAAATATTGATGAAAGAATGGCGCAGACGACAACAGAGAGTGCGCCTAGAGGCGTCTGATTCCAGAAAAGTTTGAGGTGAGGGGGAAATTGGTATAAGGAGGCAGACATACGACAACAAGAGCTTCCACAAATGCATACGCTGGAGACTCGCAAGTTTAGACTTGATTAAATAAATAAGTAGCATGGAACGCACCGGCAAAATTACACAATTCCCCAAGAATCATCACTTGCATATCTACTTCAGTAACACAAAAAGTATCAATCTCCTGAAATACGTACTGCTCATTCCTAACCACCATAGTGGCTTGTAAAAAGGTTAATGTCAGAATTCAGTTTGGCGCGGGGGGGCCCGAGTTAACTCACCGATTTGAGATATGCAACACCTTCACCTAACTCTCCACCCGCCTGCGAACGGAGCAGTCCTTTCTTCTTGAAAACGAAACTTGAACCAATTAACAAACCACTTGTTATTGCCAGTACGATTCCAACGATCTATGAATTGAAAAATAGGGTTCATATTAACTGGCAGGGTATCGCATCTCAGGAAGTTGAACCTGCCTTTAGGTTAGCGTTGGCTGTAAGGGTTGCAGCTGAAGTAGTTGATGCTGCTGCTGTCGCCGTAACCGCTGCTGAGGTCGAGGACATTGGAAAGAAGATAGGGTATGATGGCAAGTGGAGAGAGGCTGAACGTTGGTTGGGGTGCCAAGGAACAAACTCTGATACCATTTACGCAAATTGTTACCATAAAAAGGAATATTTCGGCAGTCTACAAAAGTGGAAGGCCGGCCATCGGGAGTTATCACCTCCGCATGAGGCCGCGCACTGCTGGGCACAGCTTCATGGCTATCTCGCGTTGCTATCCCTTAGTAGGTTTTTATAGTAACCCTCAATCTGCGTCAAGGTCCTGTGTTGATGACTGTCAATGCATCCCCGTAAACCGAGAATCCCGAAATTAAGGTTATGTACAGCTTCCTGAATGTATCGCAAAATCTTACAGCAGCATAGGCCATGTGCGGGACCCAAATCCCGAAACTGCACAATGAGGGCGAAAGGTCTCACAGCGAAATCGTGGTCACTTGGTACTGTTCCACCTCTTCCACAGTTAAATTTTTGAAGACACCTCATTGCTTGAGGAACAATTAATCCCTATGTAAGAGCAGATCAAACTGTCAGTGGTTACCCTCATTGACAGATGTATAGATGGAGAGCCAAGTTCCTTGGCCTCTCATAGCCTCTCGTGTCGAAGTTACAACAAATTACTCTCCTGCCACTTTTGATCCAGAAATCACCCCTCGGAATCACACCTTTTTGCAAATTTTTTTTTTTGTGTTTTATGATGGCCTATATGATTTCACAACCTGCTGATCACAACATTTCCAATATTTCACCAAGTTACAGAAGGTTACAGACGTATTGAAAATATACTAATTCCAAAAGCTAAAATACAAATGTAAAGTAAAAGTAATCCATCAGACAAACGCTAAACTCGCTGGCAAGTCATTCAAGCAGCTTTTGCAAGCATACCCAATTGACGAACCAAACGTCCTCGAGACTCTGCCAGAGGCAAAGCCATGTTCTCTGCTTAACGAGATAGCGCGGATGTCATCGAGTGGATTTCAAGAATGTGGCATTTGTAAAAATGCGAGACTCGGTCAGTTTCTGTAAACAGATCCTGATTGAGTATGTTCTAAGGAAACTAGAATGGGCCCACCGCCCTATATATATGGGCGGCCATTGGTCCGTGCGCTAAATCACGTGATGCCGTCGTGTAGTTACCATTCAGTCACATGTCGCCCGGCAACATTTCAACTCTATATCTAGAATTTCATTTAATTTTTACAGCTATTTGCGAAATGGTAGACGTTTTGGAAAATTTCTCATCTGCGCCTTTGTTTACGGTAAACAACCAGATATAGTATAGCGCAAACAAACCGTGCCTCAATTCCTCATTGCTCCACCTTGCTTGAAAATCACTATGTCATCGCAATATATTGATTGTTGACCGCGTTGGTGACAAGGAGCCTATACTAGATGTAAATAGCGTAGCCGCTCCACTGCTTTCCACTCATGCGCATCAATTCCACCTAATTATGGGTATTTATACAAACAAAGGCGCACATGAGAAAATTTCCAAAACGTCTACCATTTCGCAAATAGCTGTAATTTGCCGTGCGCCTCACCCTTGCTAGCTACACTATCTCACGAACAGTGTCTTCTATTAGCCTTGTCCTGGCCTTCAGCTGCCCCATTCTCTCAGTGCTCAAGGCAGCAACGGCTATGGAAACTATAATGGAGGACTTGTATCTCTAATAAATCGAGCAGTGCTGCTGCTCAGTATAAATCACACAACGCCTATCACTTTGTGCGCAACAGAGATGAGATTTCTTCGTCTTCATTTCTCCAAACTAAGACATGTCTCGTCATGAGACTTCACAATCACAAAAACCGGTCTTTACTGTCAACGTCCATCTGACCCCCCCCCCCCCCCCAAAAAAAAAAGTACGATCTTTTGGCAATATGGCACAATCATTGGATTGCATATCAAGTCGATCTGGAAGTCACGACAGCAGTGTCGATTTGCCTTATGAACTGGAATGCTACATCTTCAAACTCACCGCTGGTATGTATCTTAGAACAGCTCCAAAGCTCTGTCGAATATCGAAATATGTTCAAGAATGGTACGTCTTCTAAATCTCAAGTCACCCTAATATCCGTCTCATAAATTTCAGGGCAGAAGCCGTCATCTACGAAACGGTGGTACTATCTCCATATACGAATATCCGACTGTTCCTTCGTACATTACGCTCTCGGCCCCCCATCTTCTTTGGCAGGAACGTCAAAAAATTACATATAACTAAGAATTTCAAATCCGCTGTTATTACACGAATCGTATCCGCATGTTCAGGCGTCACTGATTTCATATGTTGGACCGATCCCACAGTTAGACTCATACAATTCCTCGTTCCACAGCGTCTACAAAAACTCTCCATAACAATGGAAGCTTTCTGGGGCACATCCTCACCTTCTACACGTAGATTCGACCCAGATATTTTCCCTCATCTATCCCATCTCGAAATCGTCGATCCTACTGCTTCCCAAACATTCGATTGGAACAGCTTAGGCCTATGCGAACTTCCTGCGTTCGCCCATATGGCGTTTAGTGATTTGACGGGGCAATCGCATTCTCAGCTTCTCAAATATATACGTCGATTGCTAAGGGATTGTCAACATCTTTTGGCGTTGGTGGTATTTTCACGAGAGGGCGAAGATCTTGTCAAAGATCTGACGTTTTCGGGGGAGTATATTGATCCCAGGTTTCTTGTTTTTTTTTCCCCAATGCAGCTGGCCGTTCAGGCATTGGAATGTCTCCAGGACTGGAGCGAGAGACTTCTGGTCTGTTGTGGATGATCGTTCCCGCCAGAAGGGATAGTACTATTTGCGCCAGATTTTTTGAAAATAAAAACACAATAAAATATTCCACCATTTGTGAGGAGGCAGTTATTTTGGAGTTCCTCTTAGCCGACTCGAACGACTGACCTCATCATTTATGCCTCTGTACGCATACAAGTGATGCGCTCTACCAAACTGAGCTAAAGAGGATACGCGAGATTTCGTAACCCTCTGGCTCATTAGATGGAGGTCGGTCTATCACTAGCAAGTGTTTCGATTCATTACCTTTTCCCACCATACTGAAAGAACAATGCCGTCCCTTCTTGCATACACAGAAAGGTGAGGGAAAGGGATACTACTTATTGGTGTCATACGGTTCTTTGGAAGAATAAAAATCGTGAACCACTCTGGCTGACAGTCGAATTATAAACGACTTCGTCTGAATATTTCAAGGAAATTTTTAGTCCATTCTTTGTGGTGAGTCATATCTTATGCATATCATCCGTCGGCCAGCCAGTTCTTGCGTTCCGTAATTTGAAATCAAATTCACTGAAGCTCAAGGGAATACACTGCACGATGCACAAGCGGATGCCTTGGGACTGGTCACAAGTATTGATCCTGAAGCGTCTCTCAAAGAAATGTCAAGAATAATTATGATGATTTTTTTTTTTGCAACAGGTGAAGTTAAAACTCATCCGCGCAACGACAACTGCAATCGGCCACGGGACAAACATCATGCGTCCGTTGGCCATCTTCGTTTAGGAACCATTCTAAGATATGCACAGCATGACCGCCATGCCGACAGGTCTGACAGATAACGATAGCGTCGTCAAACGTGTCTGAACGATAAAAGTGAGTGGAAATCGAGGGAACAAAACCAAAAAAAAACTCTACCTCTGTTGTATGTGTACCCAAGGTCGACCTCACGAGCAGCATCATGAACAATAGACAGAGTCATCAAACAAACTGAGCATCTTGGAAGCTCGCGGCCACAGTTTGAACATGTAGTCGGCTATGTCCAAGGTTCTGTCCATCAATGTACACTCGAAGGGAGAGATGAAACATGATATCACCTTTCCAAGTTTCTGCTGTTGTGTCATAGACTCTCTTGAATCGTGGACGGGCTTGTTACAATAATTGCATCGAATGGTAATTTGTCGTGGGACCCATTCCTCTTGTGCGATATCACCGTTCTGCATTGCTTCATGCAATATCTGACCCCTTTCAATATCGAAACCAACACGATGGTGATGCAACTTGAAGCCATCCAACAAATCTCGATAGTTGTCTAGCCATCTCTCAGCTCTCTTGTCTTTGAACCGCTGTGGGCAGACATAACAGCTAAGTATAGCAGCCGATTGAACATCGCCAGTGCGATCAACGTATGATTGAAGCACATCCATGCCAGAAAGCGTCAGCCCTGTGAGGATGATAGCATCAATGTCTCCGCGAGAGCAAGCTTGCTCAGTCATACGACGGAGGTACGAGGAAAGCGATTTGTCGTCCAGGAATTGGAAAGCGATAGCGAGTCGCTCACGAAAGGGTATAACCTCTTCTTCAAGTATATCAGACCAGTCTCCCACAGCTAGGTGTGTCAACATAACCCGGAAGTAAGGATCTTGTAGCCGAATAATAAGCCTTGCATAGTGATCTCTTAGTTCCGCGTTCTTGATTGAACCAGAATGTGACGCGTGAGGTGCCAGTGCTGCAATAGTACCTGACATCATTTGGTGGGTTTCGTCTATCCAGAAACTGGGTCAGATTACGACATTGAGTTATGATGCTTTTGTACCATCGCTCCTCATAAGAATATCAACCGCCTTGCTATATTGCCGAGTAAAGACCAACCAGCAGGCCGCTCGTGATAGACTCCCTTCCTTTTCCCATCTAGAAGCACCAAAGTCGTTAATACCCGACCGGAACATTAAGAGGTAAACAAAAGGAGAAATTACCTCTTGACGGCAGCTGTTAGTTCCTCCTCTCTCAGACTCCACCCGCAGACTTGCAAAGCAATTTGTCGCTGTACCAACTTGTTAGTCGGCACGGTCGGCTTCCAACTTGAACGATCTGTTCCGCGCCTGGCTGCCAACGAATGCAAAGCAGCTGACCAACTTCCAAACAAGTCATCAGCCGGCGAATGACTCCGGTGAGATGGGTGTCTTTCATGGCCCCCGCTGGCGGTACGAGAGTGCTGAACTTGTGGTACAAGTCCGACAGACACAGGTAGGTCGAGCAACAGAGAACGCTGACCAGGAACGGGGGTATCTTCACTGAAATGTTGTATGGGCACAGACGAAGGGTTGAAACCTTCCCAAATGCCGAGAAGACCTTGGTAAGAGAAATCATATCCATGTAATCGTGGTGTCGGCACACAAAGAACTTCCTGGGAATCTGTAAAACCAGGACATCATGAACCTAGTGTGGTTAATACATCAAATATATGCTCACGATAAATCCATGCCCAAAGGTCTGACAAAGTTTGGGTCGTTCCGTCAGACAATTCAAGATCATCGAGAGTTACATTGATATTGTCCTGGGGCTAAGAGGCAGAATAAGCACCCTATGTCAAAGGACATCAGGCAACACATTTTACCTTGCTTAAACCATAACCAGCCAACACCCTTCGCCTCATGACCATGGATATGTCCTCCTGTACAACATGATGAAAACCTTTCTTCAATTCTCGCGACTTCGGCTTTCTCCTCGGACTGGCTATACGCTGAAGGCTTGGTTCTTCCGCAGGGATGGTATCGGTGCGCGACTGGGACCGTCTTCGATACTTCTGTACAGAGGCTGGGCTATAGGTCCTTGTCCTCGCTGGCCTCGTCGCTGACAGACCGGTAGGAGCCACGGACGGTGACCTTGCTGGAGACTCTTCATTATCCACCCTGAAAATAGGGGCATGCGGAGTTGGCATCACACCAGAGGGCTGCCCCGAACGTCCTCGAGCAATGGAGTGGTCTCGTGTTGAAACTGATCTTGAGCGGGAAGGCTTGTCATCATTGCCGTATTTGAATCTAGAACTCGATTGGCCAACGCTTTCCGATGAAAATGTGTCTGCCAGCGTCGTGTTTTGGTTGCCTCCAACGACTTTCAGACCCACGCCAGCACCTATTGCCAGATCACCTCGAGAGCTCCATATAGGTTGTTTAGGGGTGTCGTATATGGCATAGAGTTCAAGATCACCATCCTTATTGACAACCATGACTTTCGAGGTCAGCGGATGCGATATATTGGGATTTGGCACCAGAGCAAAGGAGGCCAATGACCGAGGGAAATATTTAGCTGATATGAATTGGTGTGAGGCCAAATACATAAAGGGATAAAAAGGATGACTCACTTCTCCGCGTGTCGGACACAACGAATGATGATTGACTGGACAGTTCAGACAGATCCTTTTCCTTTGGTGAGAGTTTCTCTCCTGTTGGCCATGGTAAGTTGGCAGCCCAAGAACGCCTTGATGCCCTAGCGGAATCTCGTGGGGTCTTAGAATCACCATCAGAAGATCCTCCTCCACCAACCACACCTCCCTCAGTGGAATGTATCCTCATTTCTGCTAGGTCCCAAAATCGGACATAACTCGAGTCCTTCTCCAAGGTAGCCAAACAACCCCTTCGTGTGCTGGAAAACTCAATGTTTGTGTACAGTGAACCCGGTCTGAGTCTTGCCCCGTCTGCAATCGCATCTCGTTCAGAAAACATCAACAAGGGCTGGTGAAGTTTTCGGGCATCCCAAACGCTGACGACACCGTCTCCGAAGCATGCCACACGATGTGGATCGAAAGGATCCGTTGCGATCCCATGTACTTTTGAAGCAACATTTGTCGCAGTGGTTGATGGAGAGCGGAGGTCAAAGAGCCGCAGCCACCGATGAGATATGCCAGCCAAGAGAAGATGAGTAGAGGAAGGTAAAAATGCCAATGAAGATACAACTTCCGTGGGAGCGTGTTGTTGGAGAATTCGATGATCAATCCTAGCCTGGTTGTCTAATCTAGGAATTTGAGGTTGAACTCGCGGGGAGGGTAGGGTAGCATTGTTTGGAGAAGTGATAGGAAGAGTGAGAGAGGAAGTCAATGTGCTGATATCCCAGATGATAAGACTAGAATCTCCCCGGACTTTGTCAAGGCCCACTGCGAGATAATTCGGGTCAGCAGTGCTGAAAGCAAGGGCATTACATGATCGAGAGTTGCGGACGGGGAGTGTCACAGATGGTCCACTGGAAAGGATGTTCTTCTGCTGCGCTTGCTTGCCTGCTTCAAGTCGGATGAGGTCGACTTTGCCCGTAGTAAGCCCGACAGCGATCAAGTCATCGAAAGCAGGGTCTGGAGACCAGGAGAAACACTAAGGGATGATCAGTTATTCAAATCCAACATTTGGCGAGATTAGAAACACATTAGAGAAGCCTTGGATAGAAGTCCAACAGTTGTTGCCAATGAATAGTCGAGGTCAACATTCCTCCGAATGAGCCTACTCGCCGTCCGACTTCGTATACCGACGAATGGAATAGAAGCGAGGACTCGCCTTCATAAAATGTAAATCGTGTTGGGATGTGATATGTCGTATCTCAGGATAGTCGGATGCCCATTCATAAAGGGTGATCTGTGAATTTCCTCCGACCACGAATTTATTGGTCCTTCGAGGGTGCCACAGAAGTCGTTTATCCGATTGGACCATGGTCTCCAACTATATTATTGCCAAGAATGCGCCTCTTGTAATGAATAGATGGTAGCCTTTTAGTATGTGGTCAAGGAACAACTTCAAGTGATCAGGTCAAGATCAAGTTGCTTGTGCGTCACATTACTGCAGTGTCACTATAACGTACTACTTATAAGCAACAGATATTTGATTCAATGTGATAGATTGTGCATTGTAACTATAAAGACCATAAAAAACGGTAGCATCCATTAACCCTAGTGTTAAACCATCATCATATACCCCTGCCATTCTGAAGGAATTCCGAGAAAATGAAGCTGAGGACAGAAGGATTTGTATAAGCACATACAAACCACCACAATAAACCTGAAACCTTACTGACAACGACGGAGGGTTTCCATCCTTAGTTGGTGTAATCAATGTTCTTCTCATCAACTGTGTATTCCATAGCCTAAACCCAGGTTGAGAATTAAGGGGTGCTTTCGCGAATACTAAACCAGAATGGTGATCAGGGCAATCAATGGAGTGTTGTCTGGAGGGCAAAATCCACGGCGTTGC